TCTCCTTTGAGCACTGTAGGGATGTTTGAATATTATTTTAATTCTGAAAACTGAGTTCATCTTCCAATTTTGGGTAAGGGGTTAAAAAAATGGGTATTTCCCTTCTTTACTAACATCAAAAAGGAAATAATACTGAGATAAGGTCTTGGCTGCTGCAAGTAGCCGAGAATAGGCATGTTGTGAGCGCTGCAGAAGAAACCTGGCAGGGAGGGCTGGTGTGGGTAGGAGACAAGAATCAGCACCATCATGTCCAGCATGGGCAGAGTTCTGGGGGCAAGGACCACGTGCTCCTCCAACAGGGTTTTGTGAGGGCTAATCACGCCTTGGGGCAGAGGGATGTGTGAGGAGCTTCTGCACGGATTATTTTCTGCAAGCGGTTGTACTGATACTGAGCAGTGGAAATTCACCCTTCCATGAGGTCACCAGGAAGGAGCCTGCTTTAAAATGTTAGCATTTCTCCTCAGTAGTTCTCCTATTCAGACAGAAGAAAAATAAAATCGCTTTCTCCTTCCCAAAAGGCTTTTCCTAACTGCGTCCACACAAAACCTCTTTGTGGTCTCTACAAGTAGAAAATCTCCCAGTTGCCATCAACCAAAACCTCTGCTGCATTTTCATCCCAGTCCCTTGAGATATCCCTGCAATATCCACAGGATTTAACAATAAATAACAATTTGAAACAACAAGGAGCTCACCACCACCCTGCACTTGGAGTAGTCTGGTGCTTCGGGCTACACATGATGCCTGTGTCTGAGTGTCATCTTAAACACGGGGATGGGAAAAGGGGAAAAGGGACAGCCTGTCTCTTGGAAAGCAGAGACCGAACAGGCAGGCAGTGAAATCAGGCTACACTTTCCAGCTCCTGTAGGATGGGGCCTACAAGGGGTTTGGAGAAACCAAATTTTTAAGGGTGGGAGAACAAGCCCCAATATTGCCTATTTTAGTAGTTGAGATGCTTCCTCAGAGTTCAGAAACTCCTCGGAGAGTCTCAAAATGAGGGCTGTGGGTTGGTTGTCCAGCATCTTCCAGGAGCAACAGGACATTGCATTAAATAAGCTTCTAATGGGCTAAAGGAATTGGAACAGGGAGGTTGTGATGGTAAATGAGACTACTCATTCCTAAAGGGGAAGAGAAAAGCATGGCCAGACCATGAAAACAATGTCTGGAGGAAATGAGCTGCCCAGCTTTCACAGCAGCAGGACAGGGAAGCAGCTCCAGGGACCAGTTGAAAGAGGAGCGGTGCCTTCATTCCTGTTGGTGTTTCAAATCAAGTGGGCCACGAGCGTAGAGTGGCTATGGATTTATCCCAATGGGCTGTGGGTCATCCAGAGGGAGGCTGCCACATTTCCTGGTCCCCCTGTAGAGCAGTGGATCCTAGAGATCTTCCAGGTAAGCGTAAGAGTCCATAGGCATTTACCACATCGTCTGGAACTCTGGTCTCCATGAGTGTCCTATAGGGAGCTGTAAGAGGTAGTGGAGACAAACCAGCCTTGGGATTGACATGGACAAGTTTGAGCCTGTGGGAATGTCATCAGGTTTAACAAGAACAAGTGCTGGTGCTGCATGTGGGTTGGGGCATCCCCTGGGATCAATCCAGGCTGGGGATGAACAGATGGAGCAGCCCTGGGGAGAAGGCCTTTGGGTTCTGGTGGGTGAGAGGCTGGACATACCCTATCCATGGGCACTCCTGGCCCAGAAACCCCCCATGTCCTGGGCTCATCCCACAGCCTGGGCAGCAGGGGAGGGGGGGATTCTGCCCCTCTGCCCCCTCAGGTGAGACCCCACCTGCAGAGTTGCCTCCAGCCCTGGGGAACAACAGCACAAGGACGTGGAGCTGCTGGAACAAGTCCAGAGGAGGCCCCGGAGATGCTCTGAGGGCTGGAGCCCCTCTGCTCTGGAGGCAGGCTGGGAGAATCTCTTCAGCCTGGAAAAGAGAAGGCTTTGGGGTGACCTAATTGTAGCCTTCCAGCACCTGAAAGGAACTCACAAGAAAGATGGAGAGGGGCTTTGGACAAGGGGCTGGAGGGACAGGACAAGAGGGAATGGCTTCACAATGAAAGAGGATAGGTTTAGATTAGATATTGGAAAGAAATTGTTGGTTGTGAGGGTGGTGAGGCCCTGGCACAGGTTGCCCAGAGAAGCTGCAGCTGCCCCATCCCTGGAAGTGTTCAAGGCCAGGTTGGATGGGGCTTAGAGCAACCTGGGATAGTGGAAGGTGTCCCTGCCCACGCAAGGAGTTGGAATGAGATGATATGTAGTGTCCCTTCCAACCCAAACCATTGATTCCATGATTGCACACTCATGTAGAGGCCTGCAAAGTTACTGGAGAACATCTGGGGACTGACATGTGAAAACAGGGTGGAAACCACCTCCAGACAGACCCTACTTGGCTGGGTGAGACCACAGCCTGTGCTTTCAGGGCAAGCTGGGGCAGATGGAGCCCATCTGCAGTGACCGAGAGCTGCATATGTGAGACTTTCTCCCTTTTTTTGCCCTTTTTCATGTGCTCTCTCAGTGTTCTCCCTCCAGCTGCTTTCAAAGGACATTCCTGGTCTGAGCAAGTAAATTGCCTGGGCTTCTTGATTCCGTGTCTCATCTCGTGGCCATGAGATGCCCAGCCTGGATGAAACAAAGGAGGCCCAAAGACAAAGGGATGTGCCCCAGGTGACATGAAGGATATCTTAGTTGTAATATGGGATGCAATAGGCAGAACACACCATATGTAATCCTTTATATTTTTATTAATTGCTTTTGAGCTGCTTGAACCACCTCCATCGCTGGAAGAATCTTTGCAGCAGCTGCAGCTGCTGGGTTTCCCCTCTGTCAGCATTGGGAACGTGCCTCAAATCAGAAGCAGGTTTCTGTCTGGAGTTGCCACGCTATGGCTCTGTCTCCCAAGATGACTTGGCAGCCACCAGCTCACTGCTAAGCCTTTGCTGCACCTCATGGTAGCTCCTCCTTCCCACCTCAGTGGTGGATGAGAGCAGCTTTCTAAAAGAGCAACTTCCCTTTTCATAGGGATAGGAAGTGAAGTTCATGTAGCAAAGAGAGGTCAGGTGCCTCAGAGCACTCTCCACCAAATGATGAGCCCCTGCCCTAAAGCTCAAAGCACTCCATCTAACCTGAAACTGTCCTCTCCTTTTGACCACCTCCATCTCCCTCCCCTGCCCTTAGCTGGAGGAGAACTGGAGAGGAAAAGAGCAAGCTGGCAAGGGAGAAATTTGCCAGAGCGGCAAGGGCTTCCTCATTTCTGCCTCTCCTTGGTATGCAAACAGCAGGCACACCTGGCTGAGGGGTGATGAGCTGTGTGTCTGTCCTGGTTACCTTTGGAGTCACCCTGACTTGGCAGGTGCCAAGAGGATGGTGCCAGAATCTTGTCAGTGGTGCCCAGGGACAGCATAAATAGCGACGGCCATAAACTAAAACACAAGAAATTCCACCTCAATATGAGGAAGAACTTGTTTATGTTGAGGTTGCAGAGCACTGGAACAGGCTGCACAGGGAAATTGCAAAGCCTCCCTCTCTGGAGACATTCCAAACCCACCTGGATATGTTCCTGTGCCACCTGCTCCCGGGTGGCCCTGCCTTGGCAGGGAGGCTGGACTAGATGATCTCCAGATGTCCCTTACAAACTCAACCATTTTGTGATTCTCTGATTCTCTGATTCTGTGCTGACCCTTTTGAGTAAGGGGATCAGTGTGACCCCTGAAGACTTGGAGACCTCTCTGTATGGCTCAGACAGCCTTGCAGCTTTCCATGGGGTTGTCTTCCCTTATCAGGAGCAGAGTTCCAGAGCCAAGGCTGATTCTCATCCCACGTGAGCATCAGGTGTGTGCATCCTGGAGCAGCTGCTCCCATCTCACTCAGCATTGTGTCCTCAGCCAGCCTCGTCTTGTCCTTGTGTCTCACGGCTGGTAAAGGTCCTCTGCCATGACCTCGGCTTAGATCTACTCCGTGAAGCTTTTCCTCCTGTAAACAACATCACCAGCATGCGGGTGACCTTTAGGTTGTGCATCACACTGGGCAGATGTCGTCTCGTGTTTGTCCTGCTCAGCGGGGGCAGCTGAAGTGTAAACTATGTGAGGTCACTCCAGCCCTGAGCTGGACGAGACCAAGAGTCCCTTCCCTCCTGCTGCCACACAGAACACAAAAATGATGTCATGAAATTACCCACAGAGGTTCACACAGTGGTTTTTGGGGGCCTCATCTCTGCAACAGCTTAAGAAAATACACTGAAAACACCCCAGAGAAGCCAGGTCATTGTACAGCCCCCCATGGGAAGCCTCGTGAGTCTGTAGAAACAAATCCTGCTTCTTATATAACATTTGTCTCCCAAGATAGAGGGGTTTCAGTCTCCTTCTTGAACATGCTGAGGTAGAATGAGAAAGTCACTTCCTCAGAGTCACCCACAAGTCCCTGGTCAGGTCTCCATTCGTTAGACCATGCTGCTACGGTTGAGTAGGTTCATAGAGGGTCAGGGCTCACTGGAACAAGATGTGTTTTATCAGAAAAAAGTTCTTTTTTTAATCACAGAAAGGAAAGATCATTGCAAAGCCGGGTTTTTTGGGTTGTTGCCTAAAATTTGGTGGTTTGCATAGTGGAGGCACAATCCATTCACAGTCGTTGTCACTGTTTTTAATGACAGCTGTTAACGGCCTGTGGGTTTTGTCTGGGATTTGTGTCTGAATTCTCTTTGGGTTTCTCGCCTTCCTCATTGCTGTTTTCATTGGCCAGGTTGTCTGGGAAGTGCAACTCCCACCCCCCTCCCAGATGATCATTTTTATATTCAAAATAGAGCAAGGAATCCTTGGGGGGGGAGAAAAGAGTCAGTTCTGACACAAAGACCTGATTAAAAAAAGAAAGCCCATTAAAAGCATTTCCAAAATCAGGCTGCTCCTGCAATCCAGGGGGTGTAACATTCCAAGGGGTTGGTCCCATGGATGGTGTGGACGTGGTGGGAGCCTGAGGCCTCTAACAGAGATTTGGCCGGGGCCCTCAGCCCCATGGAGCATCTGACATGGGTCCGACCCGTGGCTCGTACGTCCTCGGATCGTGTCCCCAGGAGCAGCAGCGTGGGAAGCAGGCAAGTAGGGAACATTCCACCCCCATCCACATTTCCCTGAGGGTGGGAAGAAGTCTAGCAGATTTTTCTCTATCCTCATCCTCTCTCCCATCCCTCCTTCACGTGATTCCGCCCCTGCCCTGTTTCCCTTCCATGAAATCTGTGGGTTAAAGAGATGATGGGGGCACTACCCAGATCCGGTATTAGTGGTGGTCTGCAGGGATTCTGTTCCCTTGGATTACTGCAAAAGGAGAGGAGGACAAATAAGTGCCAAATGTGCACACCCTGGCACTGCCATCCTCCCCTGCCCCCAGGACTTGGAGGGGAAGAGAGGATATATGTAGGGAAGGCTGGCCGGAGCTGGATGCAACTGTGATGAGTAGGGGAGTGCTCTGCCATTTCATAGCTATTCCTGAAATGCAGTAGGAGGCGTTCAAGTGGGGAATTGGAGATGTACATATTTCCCTACAGCCCTTCACCTCATCTGAGGGTGGTGGGAGGGAGCGACGTTCCCTCTGAGACATTGAGGAATTGAACTCCTGAGCACCAGCTTCATTGCTCCTTGTGGGACATGGCTAACAGGTCCTACAAAATGCTGTCCTCCTCTTGCTAGGAAATTTCTGGGATGCAGGGCCTTCAGGAAGGGCCCTTCCCAGGGCAGAAATTTGGGTGGCCGCACGTAGAGGTGTGGAGGAACACTCCATCCATCTCCTCGTGCTCCCAAGGCTGGGAGGGCCAGGACCTCCCCATATGCCTACAGATCACCGGGATGTGCCCTCCAAGTGCTGGGAAACAGAGCATCAGGGATTCTGGGCAAAGGAGCATGACCTGTGCCTACTTCCATAGGATTTGGATGTCAGATAGGTGTGGCCTACAGAGAGAATTTCTCCCTAGTGTGTCCAACTCCCCCACAGCCCACTCACAAGTCTGGCCCACACCTGTGTTGGGCAGAAGACAAATTTGAGTTGAAATTTGGGTGGCAATTCTGGCCACATCAGAAATTGCTGTCGAGCAGTGCAGTTTTGTCATAAAACCCGTCACACCTGAAGAACACCAGAGTAGCTGCAAGTACCCAAAAGATGTACTTTGTCTCCTCCTCCTTGCTTGCTCCAGTGCATCCCAGCACCCTGAAATCCTGCAAAGACACTCCCAGCAGAAATTCCACCTGGCTGATGCAATGCCAGGGGTGAGCTCATGAGGGAAGCACGTTTAAGGGAGGTGGGATTAACAGTCTGCCCTCCTGGTTTTCCCTGCTCCAAGACCCTGATCCCTGGCTCTGCTTCCTGGCCCGCAGCCTCTGAGCATCTGCCAGGTTCCAGTGGGGTGCAGTGTTCAATGTAAGCAGCCATTTCTCCTCCAGACAGATGTTTTGATTAGCAAACGACCACTCTGGCAGCAGGCAGCTATTTTCTACTTTTGGAGTGAGAAAGAAGCTTTTATTATCTTCTTCTTCTCATTTTCTTTTTTTTTTCCTGTCCTGTCAAAGAAATTTTTTGTGTCTGCTCAAACTCAAGGGCCTGGAAGCCTGTGTGCTCCCAAACCCCAGCCTCACACACAGCCTGCTCCCATGAAGAGTCCCAGCTTTTCAGGAAGGCCTGAAGCAGATGGATTTACTGCTTGGTTCATTTGCTTGGACCAGGCTCACCTGCCCAAAGATAATGGCCTAGGAAAAATGGTAGATTTAGGGCAGATGTAAGTTTTAACTGAAATGGAGAACTGGCTTGGATTGCAGGAAAAGATCCTAAAATAAGCAAACGGGCTTCAATCTTATTCCTGAAATGTGTCCCCCCCACTGAGGGGTGGATCACGTCCACAAAGCTCCTGGATTTGTCATCCCTCTGCCCTGGGATGGCAGGGAACAGGTATTTCCAACACCAGTTTGGCCACACTGCTCAAGACTGGGACTGGGACAGGGTCCAAGACAAGGAGGTGGGACGCATTGGAGTGGGGAAGGAGGAGGATGTGGCCAGGAGAAGGAGGCACCTGCTGCTACACTGAGATTCTTCAGGTGTGAGGGGTTTTATGACAAAACAGCACCAACATCAACACCTCACCGGTGTTAGGTGGAGAGCCTGGGGGTTGTCCTTCATATTCCCTCAAGGACCTTCTTTTACATGGACCAGAGTGTTTGAGAGAGTCCTCAGTGCACAAATAAAACTTGGTATGTTTATCCGTCAGAGACCAGGACTGGAAGGGATCTGAACATTGCCAGTAGGATGTTCCCAGTTTCCCAGCAGGGATGAAACAGGGAAATTTGACATCTGTTTCATTTCTCAGAAAGAACCACGATGCTTCTTGGTCTGGGCTCTGCAGTTCTTCATAGGGACTTTCTGCATTGCTGTAATCACAGGATCACAGGATGTTTGGGTTGGAAGGGACCTTAAAGATCACTTCATTCCTGCCATGGACAGGGACACCTTCCACTATCCCAGATTGCTCCAAGCCCTGTCTTCCAGGGATGGGGCAGCCACAGCTTCTCTGGGCAACCTGTGCCAGGGCCTCATCACCCCCACCGGGGAGAATTTTTCCTGATAACTAAATCTATTCCTTACAGCTGGGTCCTACTGGTCAGCGGCCTTTGGATACGAAATTCCCGCTGATTTTAGCTGGAGACCCAGAACTGTATCATCACAGGAGCTCTTGCTGCCCTCCCCCTCGCGGGGAAAGGACGTCAGCAAGACTTTGGCCACTGTGCCACAGAGGATGGTGGCCAGAGCCTCCACCTTCTGCCTCTGTACGAGACTTTGTGCGTGGTCGGTGCTGTTTATCGCCCAATGCTTTGGTTTGCTGTTGTCTTCAAACCCCTTCCGAGCAACAAAGCTGCAAATCTTTTGAAATGTAAGCTAAAAAGAGCTTGACTGAAACCCAGCAAAAGTAGAAAACAGTCACAGCGAAAAACAACTTCAGCAGCAAATCTTCATTCTTATTTAAGCAGCTGATCCACCAAGATCTTCAGTAATTCTCCAATTTTGTGTCTTGCAAAGCAATCCAAGGATGCCAGATCAGGAAACGTATTGAAGAGCTATTTTATTAAGGAAAATTGTTAAAGAATTTTATACATCTATGATGTGCCGAGAACTGGAGGAAATCTTTTTTTTTAACTGAACTCTTTCACTCCTCACTGATGCAAAAATGCAAATCTGGAACGCTTAAATTGTTGCATCCAAAGTGAGTTGATTTCAGCAATTCTTTCTGGATGGGGGAGGACTTGCAAAGAGAAATTCAGCATTTTAAGCCTTTCATAATTGTCCAGATCTGTATGTTCAAAGTAAATTTTTTAGGATTTTTAATGCTGTACCCTTTTAAAACATACTTTCTTAAAAAAAAAAAAAAAAAATTTAAGTTTTAAAATTAAGTAAAATATGTAATCTGGGTGAAATATGAAAACACTTTGCTGCACCCACCCTAGAATCTGGATGGAAAGGGGGCTCATTTGGTGATTTCAGTGGGCTTGGGGATTTTTTTGGAGCCGCCTTCACAGTGAAACTCTATTGCCTTGCTTGGGTCTTAACTTATTTTTCCAGGGCAGTTTCATGGGGTTGAGGCAAATGGGGAGCCAAGACTTCTGCTTTTCTGCCAGATTCGGTCTTGTTTTTTCCCCACACCCGCCCATGCAATCCCAAGATTGTTTTTTGGTGTCATCCACATCTCTGGGGCAGAAAGCGCTGCATTCACAGCAGAAACTTTTGAGCTCTCTTGCTCTGGTAGCGGAAACCATCCGACCGCAGAGATGGTGCAGGGCTGCTCCCCGTAAAGATGAGGTGGGCAGATGTTTCCAGGGCTTGGCTTAGCCCAGATACCCCCATCTTACCCTCTGTGCACCCAGCAGATCCAACTCAACACTGTCCTGTTTGTTTTAGCCCACCCTGGGCACTCAAAACACTGAACAGGCTCCCCAGGGCAGTGGTCATGGCCCCAAGGCTGCCAGAGCTCAAGGAGTGTTTGGACAATCCTCTCAGGGACATGGTGGGATTGTTGGAGTTGTCCTGTGCAGGGCCAGGAGCTGACCTCATGATCCTTGTGGGTCTTTTCCAACTCAGGATATTCTATGATTCTGTGGTTCTATCTTCAGAAGTCCTCCCTTGGCCCATTCCTGCAGGAACACTTGTACCTGCATCCATCTCCTTGTAGCAAAAATGTCACCTCAACTGCCCTTCTGAAGGTTACTGAAATCACCTTCTTTAATCCCACAACATGGTCACACAGGAGATTTTAGAGATCCTGCCCGAGCATCCAGTGTTCCCGTGACCTGCATGTCTGTCCCACAGGCATTCAGAGCTGGGTGCTCCACAGAGCTCATTGGCCTCGTCTCCATTGATTTCCTCAGACCTGTTCCAGGAACAGGTCTGCATCAAATATTTTTACTCAAAACTCGTCAGCAGCTAAGTTGGACTCATACAATCATAGGATGTTCTGAGTTGGAAGGGATCCATAAGGATCATCGGGTCCAACTCCTGGCTCTGCACAGGACAACCCTAAGAATCCTATACTTTTTCTTCTAAAATTGTTTTTTGCTTAATTGTTTCATGCATATGGAATCACAGAATGTTTGGGTTGGAAAGGACCTTAAAGCTCATCTTGTTCCAACCCCCTGCCATGGGCAGGGACACCTCCCACTAGCCCAGGTTGCTCCAAGCCCTGTCCAACCTGACCTTGGACACTTCCAGGGATGGGGCAGCCACAGCTTCTCTGGGTAACCTGTGCCAGGACCTCACCATCCTCACAGGGAAGAATTTCTCTGTAATATCTAACCTAAATTTCCCCTCTTTCAGTTCAAATCCATTATTCCTTGTCCTATCACTACAGTTCCTGATGAAGAGAAATATGAAAAAATTTTGTTACCTTCAAATTTTTTGTTCTGCTTTGTTTTCTGGTTACTTTACAAAGAACCAATTTTATAAATATTGAGTTTTTTGAACTTGAGTAAAGTTGAGGAAACAAATTTCCCCACTGTCTGTATTAGATATAAACCAATATTTTTAGGTGCGAAAAACTATAAATTCACAAAAGGAAATTTTCACGCTTTTCTGTGTCACTGATTTCTCCCCAGCTCTCTTTGCCACTGGAAAAAAAGAATAAAAAAAAGGCTGGGAGAACTACTATCAGTTACTTTTCTCATAACTTTTTCTTGCGAAGCTAATTTTAAAAAACATTAGAAGCTGAAAACACCGCGGAACAACGTACATTCAACTCAGCTGCTGTTTTTTTGGAAAAAAAATTAGTGTTTAAAAAAATGAAGAGTCCCCCAGCTGCAGTGGACTGGGAGCTCACCAGCAGCTTTTTGTGCCCAACAACATTTGTCTGCAGTTCTGCTTTGAGATTTTGAAGGATGGGTTGCTTTGGCTGCCGAAGGTTGCGGAGGTGACTTGAAGAGTGTGACTGGTGGATTTTGGGGGGGACTGTGAGCACCCAGAGCTGTGCTAATGCCTTCTCTGTGTGGGTGGGACTGAGTGACCTTTGTGGGAGGCCTTTCTGGTTCCATTTCTCATCGGAGGTGGGTCGTGCTGTTCCCCTCTCAGTGCGTCCTTGACACGTGTGCGTGGGGAGAAAGCTGAGTTTGTGCCAGAGTGCAGAGAGGTGTTTCCAGGCTCTGCATGGTGCAGGAAGGGTTGCAGTGTCCCCTCAGACACAGGACCACTGTGGAGAGTTGCACAGGTCAGGTCCTGCTCCCCACTCCTCTCAAACCCTGTCAGAGGAGTTGGGATTGCCCCAAGGCCATGATGGGACTTGCTGAGGTTGATGTTCCCACTCTGCTCCACCAGGGCCATCACTGTGTAGTAAAGCAGCTGAAAGAAGATTCTTGGCCTGGTGTGAAGAAGTAGGAGACAGAGATGATGTGGGTGATTATGACCAGATTTATTGCTAATACAGTTTCTAAATATCGACAATTCAGTATCCAAAGAACAGCCATCAGGTCGTGGTCCCTCCCGTTGAGCCACAAGCTTCAGTGAGACCCTCTGGCTTTCTAAACTGCTCACAGAAGTCCAAATGTGGCTTAGTCCACTTAGTCTTAAATTTGGCCAACAGTTTGTGACTAAAGGATCATGATGTATGCACAATTAGCTAGAAATGTACAGGTTTACAGCCTTTGGCCTTGCAGAATTCAAGTTACAGAGCACCTGTGGAGCTACTTTAGGATTTTAGCTCTGTATTTGATGGGATCTTAGTGCTTTTACTCACCCATCCAAAAGCTAGTGTTCCCCATTTTTGAGTTGGATGTACCCTGCAGGCTTCCCTGCCAGGGTGAAGATCCGTCCAGAAGCTGCCTCCCACCTTGGGAGACCAGTTGGTCCAGTTGGCCCAATATCCAACAGCATTTTATTTCCTTTTGCAGGCACCAAAATCAATTGCAAACATCTCATTATTGTTATTAATTATGTATTCCGTTAATTATGTGAGCACCTGCTGTCCTCATGTGAGGACAAACTTTATTTCCCACCAGAGACAGCGGAAAGGGAGAGGGAGGATGTGTGTGGGAGGAGGACACACTTGAAGATCTTTCGTTGCCATCATGCACTGAGAGCAACTCAAAACCCCCAAAAGATGCCTCCATAATCCTTCATACGGTCCATCAATCCTCTCATAAGATCATCTTGGTGACATGACTGGCAGTCAAAGCATATTGCTGACTTTTGCTCTATCTCACGTCCCCTAAATCTGCTGAAAAAATGGCAACTGCCACATCTGTATCTCCCATTTGGGAGCAGATATCAAAGACCCCAAGATGCTCCAGTGAGCCAGTAACAAGGACTGTAGATCTATGTCCCACATGTAGGTGGATTTTTCTGTCTTTCATGGTTGCTAACAACTGATACCTAAAACTTATCTATCATCCAGCCTGGACTTAAAATGATACCTTGCTGTTCCCTCTGTAAAAAAAGGGAATTTCAGCTACTCTCATGACAAATAACACCATTCTGAATCAGAAATCCTGTCACAAATCCTTCCACAAGTGGAAGAGAGGGAAAACTTCACCTAATAAATCATGTGTCGTTGCATGACAACCAGATCTTCTAAGCAAAGCAAACCCTGGTTGCAACCTGGAAGGGAGGCTGCCAAATTAAAATGAAATTGCTGCAGGAAATGCTGTGGTTGATTTAGTAGGTGAAACTTCCCCTCTGACTGTGTTGGCAATGCCTGGAGCAGTGCTGAGACCTGGGGACAGATGGATGGGCCATCTGTAAACTCAGGTCAGAGAAAAGCTCAGAGAAGTTGAGATGCTGAAAAAGTTTTGATGGGGGGGTGAAAAATGTGTGTTAGACAATCCTGAAATATTCCACCAATTCCTTCCATTTTGCTCACTTTATCAGTGATAATAAAAATGAGGCAGAAAGGAGAAGACGTTTTAAAAAATAACATCTTAAAATGTTGGGATATCTCTGTTAGAAGCCTCATTTCAGAGCCCCAGTTTTTTAAATACTGGATACAAAAAAGCAAAAAAACCCATTCTTTTGCTGGAATATTTTTTTCTGCAAGTCTGGTTTGCTGGGAGTTTTTTGGACATCTCTTTTGGAGTCTGACTGTCATGACACAGTGTCAGGCTGACATTTGGAGAGGTCTCTGGACCTGCAGTCCCTGATCCTCTCATGGCAGACTCTGAGGTAATTTGTCAAGAAGAGGAGTCAATATGTCTTTGCTCAGCTATGAGTATTTGGGTTTGGGGTTTTGGGGTTTTTTTGAGCATTTAGTCCACACCTTCCTATGCCTTTGGCTCAAAGTAGGGGCTGGGGCAGATTTTGGCACTGGATGTTGTAGATACCTTGTGTATTTGTGGAAGCAACACTTCATCTGTCCCTTAATTTTTGAGGGCTCTGAGCAGACTGAGTTTGCCATAGTTTGACCATCTTGGCTACCCAGAACCACTATTATCGTTAAGTTATTGACCAGAGCTGGAATTACATTTATAGGATCACAGTTAAACAGCCCTCAAGCCCAAGTTTGGAACCCTAATGTGGACCAGCAGATGATCCATGGAAAGAGTTTGATTCATTTGTGTCTGGTGATCCTTGCGGTATCCAGGAGGTCTGAGGTATACATGTGGTCTTGGCAAACATAATCCATGATTTATGGGAGACCCACACCTTGTGAGGACCAGTATCTTGTCAGCTGGGATCTCTGCACTGGAGAGGGGATATATCCAAAGTCTGGGGTTTTTGTTTGTTTTGTTTGTTTTTTTCTGATGACTTCTAGTGTCTGTCTGAGCCTCATTTGCAAAGTGTGAAACACCAGTCACGTGGGAAGAGAAACCATGGGTTCACAAGGTCCGAGGTAGCAAGAGGTTGTAGACAGAATGGTTTTAGACTCCTCTCTCCACTGTCCCATCATCCTGCATTCTCATCTTCTCCAGCTTGTTATTTAAGATTGTTTTGCCCCTCAGTGCCTGCACCTTTCCCCAGGAACAGTCTCATTAAAAAGGAACTTCTGCTCTTCCTTCCAGGATGGGGTTGCTCGGGAGCAAAAATCAGCTGATGCCCAATGAGAAACACACTTCTGGAGGCAACCCAAAACCCAGGAGTAAACCTCCTCCTGCTCCCCCCAAGGTAAGCCTGCAGTTTTGTGTCCTTTTGGGATCCTCCACGGCTCAGTTAGTGTTTGAAGTGATGTAGGCAATACTTGGAATCATAGAATCATAGAAGGGTTTGGATTGGAAGGGCATTTAGTCCAACCCCCTGCCATGGGCAGGGAGATCTTCCTCTAGACCATGTTTCTCCAAGCCCCATCCAACCTGGCCTTGAACAATTCCAGGGATGGGGCAGCCACAGCCTCTCAGAACATGTGCCTGGCACTGCCTGGACACAAGTCCTCTGAGCTGGTCCTCCCAGATGATTCCTGTATCTTTTAGACAGGGGTGGGAAGGGTTCTGAGGAGCCTCTGCATATTAAAAAAGAAAATAAATTAAAATCCAGTGTATGGGGACTTTGAAATATCTCCTGATCAGTACTTTGCAACCCAAGCTGATGTTGCTGACTTGCAAAAGGCACAAAGATGGGTCAGATTCAGGCTGAAGATTCAGAGCTGCAAAACCGCAATGGAAACTTCACCATCCTGAGGGCAGCGGGTTCACCAGGGAGGGTCCATGACCGATGTGGGTTGGGGTGAGCTGAGAATCAGAAATGCTGGGCAGCTGCTGCTCCCTTTGAATTCACACAGCCTCTGCTTGCATGGACACAAGGCACTGGGTCAGGATTTAGGAGACCTCAAACGGCAAAATCCTTGTTTGAACTTTGCCAATCGCTTTGTCTGTCTGGTGCTGTACAGAGGGCGTGAGCTTGTTTTCTCCTTCCTTGCCCCTGAAAGCTCTGCATCAATCAGCCAGCACAAGAGAAACTCTGGTGCAACTGTCCTCTGAAAACCACCTCGGGTCTTGAGGGCCTGTGAGAGGGGAGGAATTGCCTGTTGTTGCTTTTTATGACAGGTGGAGATGTTTTTCACTCCTTTAGCTTCATTTCTGAGTTCTCCCATGGTTATACAGCCCAGTTTTCATGACAGCAGACATCAGATTGACCAAGAAGGTGCTATTTTCCTAAATTTCCTTCTCGCCAGCTCACTGGAGAGGAGCTGCTATCAGTATAAATATAGAATCATCGATCACCTTCTGTCACTCATTATTTTTTGCCACAGGCACTCAGCTCTCACGTGTCAGGGGAAGTCCATCTTTCTTTCAGTTACATTGGAAATGGCAGTGGATGAGCAGCTCTCCCACCCCTCACTGCTCCTAGGTATGGGTCAAAGGGTGGCATGGACAGAAAACACTGGATGTTTTTAATTCAGTGTCTGCATTTCATTCCTTTTTCACGTGCATAAAAATACCTGGTGGTGGTGGAACACCCACTACAGTCACTGGGTCTAGTACCTTGGGCTGATCACAGGACTGGTGTTTGAAGTTGGGTGGAGGCCACTTTCAAACTCTTAGCCCTGAAAACAAGGTGGTTCCATCCCAGCTGATCTGGAATTATCTATGGCCAGTTTGCCACTTTCAGCAGCTGGTCCAAACGAGAGACCATGTCAACATTTTAAAAGTGTGTCCAGAGGACTTGCAGGACCTTGTTGCTCTTTAATGGCACAGTCTGCAATTGCCCCACGAGGGAAAGTGGAGGGGCAGGCACTGATCTCTTCTCTCTGGTGACCAGTGATAGACTCAAAGGAATGGCATGAAGCTCTGTCAGGGCAGGTTTAGGTTGGATATTGGGAAAAGGTTTCCCGAGGGACAATGATCGGTCACTGAACAGGCTCCCCAGGGAAGCAGTCACAGCACCAAGGCTGCCAGAGCTCAAGAAGTATTTGGACAACATTCTCAGGGACAGAGTGGGATTATTGGGGTGTCCTGTGCAGCACCAGGAGTTGGACTCTGTGATCCTTGTGAGTCCTTTCCAACTCAGGAATCGTAGAATCATAGAACGATAGAATATCCTGAGTTGGAAGGGACTCACAAGGATCATCAAATATTCTGTGATTTCTATGATTTCTATGATTCTACAATTAATTTGCTAATACAGTCACTGCCTTTGCTTTTTGAACATATCCCTGAACACAGCATATCCCATAAGCCTTGGGACAATTTTGGCAAAAAGTATCTCCAGTTTTCTGCTTCAAATAATATTCCAATCGCCATTTCTCGACGGGGCCATTCACGTCTCAACCCCCATGGATCCCAAATCTGGCACCAGTGAACAAGGGTTAGATAGACCAGGGTCCAAATGAGTGGGTGGCAGATTTGTGCTTAAATTCAGAGGGAAGCCAAGGGTTATTCAAGCTGACTGTTAAGACAACCATGAACAAATCATGGCAAAACATGCTAAAACCATCAGGACATGCCCAGAGCCAGACACAGGGGCTGTTGACTGACTCCCACTTGTCTGTGAAGCTGAGAGCAGGTCTTCCTGAACACAAAGCAAAGTAATAAATATCTTTTTTTTTCTTTTTTTTTCCTATTTCTACCCAAGGGCAGACAATTTATCAAAACCCCTCATCTAAACCAAGCCTCTGCACAAGGTAAGATTCTGTTTTCTGTGCCTTCCCGTGGGGTTTTGCAAGGTGGTGGTCCCCAAATGGCAGGTCTTGAGAACAAGCTGTCACGTCACAGGCGTGTGGTTTCTGTATCTTCAGCACTGCCAAGCAGGGAGTTTATCAGTGTGCTTCTGAAAATTCACTTTACATCACTGAGTGTCTGTAGCTGCCAATTTTTTCCTGCTTATCAAAGAAATTAAGAGGGCAAAGCACCAATTCTTCGTTGGAGCAAGATGATCCCTGAGGCCCCTTCCAACCCAAACCATTCTCTGATTCTGTGATTGGTGGGGAAAAGGGAGATCTGAGACTTCAGCTGTGTGAGATTTCCCTGTCTGCTGTCCTGTCTGCAGCCTGACAACTCATGGATGCTGTATCCAACCAGCTGAAAATTCCAGAGGAAATAGCAGGCATCAGAGAGCCCAGGGAGACTACAAAGAGAAGGAGAAGAAAGGAAAGAGTTTAAAATAAGGATACACAGAGCCCCTGCTTGGGGACTGTCTGTTGGCTTCATCCACCTGCAGGTCACAGATGGTGTTTGGAGATTATTGTCTTTCAGCAGGGAGCCCTTTGCTACCTCTGCCCAGCCCCCCAAAAGCAGCTTGTGTGTATTTCTGTCAAAGAAGTTTTGCAGATTAAGGACACAGAGAGAGAGATAATTAGAAGAGGAAAAAAAAAAAGAGGAAGCTTGGAAGAAAGCTGTTAGCAACACCTAAAAGTTCTTCACATGGACGGAAGTGTAGGATTAGGGGAGACAGGGCATGAGGATAGGAAAAAGGGGTGTCATGAATAAATGGGATTGGTGGAATGACAGAGGTAGGTCTTCTTAGGTCTTGTGGATGATGATGGAGAGTCCCTGCCATAGGCCAAACATGGGGACTCCTGCAACATCAAACCCTTCAGATTTGGCATTTGTTATGGAAATAAAAGTTGTGGAAGGTGAAGCTCCTACACCATGTGAATAAACCACACTTTCTTTTGCAAAATCATTTTTGTGTCACATTTCCAAGTGTCCATGGTCTCCTACCTCTCAAACTGAGCAGACTTTGACAGTCTTTCACAGTTTTTATCAACCTCCTCAAGCTGGTCAGAAGCACAACACAAGTTATTTTCAGGGAGGCAGCTTTTACTTCTGCTTCATGCCAGAAGGCAGAAGTGGAAAGATGCTAAAAAAATGGATTAAGTACCGTGTTAGCCATTTTCAGCTCTCAAAAATATTTTGGTTTGTTAGATTCAGTTCTGGTTCTGGAGGAATATTCACACTGATAGTCTGGGAAACTTCCTATTTTTCTCTACTGGTGTCTGAGTTTCCCGAAATGATGCGACATCTGACTCTGTCCTATGGGGCAAAATGGGCTGGTAGGAACCATACCAGATATTTGAGATATCAGAGATAGCCTCCTGAAAGAAAGCAATTCAAGTGAATCGATAGAGAAAGCACAAAATGCAGGCAATCACACCATATAAATATATATATATTTTAAAAAAAAAATCAAAGAGCTGAATTATATCCTGTGGCAAAATTATTGACTATGGAAGCATGGCATGAAATGTAAAATCAAACCCACTTTTTTCCTTGGGTTTTTTAATTTCTTTTTTTTTTTTTTTTTTTTTTTTGCGCTTTCCTTGCATTTTGATTGTTTTGGGGGTGGGTTTTTTGGTGGGTTTTTTTATGGTTTTTTTTTTTTCTGATCTTGATGTTGAATTTCTTTCACACTTTCCAGCTTTCACACCACTATCTCGGAGATAATTTATTTATTTATTCTTCACAAAAGCCTAATTCTTCCTGACTTTATCTATCTTAATGGAAGCAACACAAAGGCAGGCAAGGGGTGCATAACTCTGGATTCAATGGGAGGGTGTGGCATCACCAATCCACTTTTCACCTGAGGAAGTTCTTCCATCATGCGAGTCTCTCATTCATTTTAAGATGGTTCCCTAAGCAATCCCAATGTTTTTAAGGCTGGTTCTAGGTCCCCATGGAGTCAAAACTTCAATTCTGCACCTCTAAAGCCCCCAGTCCAGCAAAGTCCTGGCCTATGATGATGGACCTCAAACACCACAGTGCCATGGCTACAGCTGCTGCTTGGATAAGACATAAAAAATAGGTAGAATAATCCCTGCCCTTGCCCTTCCACCTGCTCACAGCTGGATTTAAGCCCTACTGATGGAGAGAGATGGTCATTTTGGGGTGCTTGTCCTCAGGCATTACAATAACCTGTGACTGCACAAGGACTTGGTCTCTGCGAGGTCATTTCTTCTGATGAGGAACTGCAACTTCTTCCACCTCTTCACTTGCTTTTTGCAAACCATAATACTAACAGGACTGATTTGCAGGGGGTGGGAGCTTGGTATGCTCTGGAAATTAAGGTCTTTTGAGGCATCTCAAGGTTAATAGAGAAACTTTAGTTGTTTCTACTGTTGTTCCTTGAATATGGTTCTGAGTTTGAAAGGAATGTTGTCAGAACCACAGGTTTGAGTGTAATTGGGAAAAGGCTGATTTTTCAATGAGAAGTTAAAACTTCTCATCAAAAATGAGCATTGCCAATCATAAGCAAGAGGAGAAATGAACATGAGAGGGAACTGCCCCAAATGTTCAGATTTCCTGATGAAAAAAACCCACGAGTTTAGGTCTGATATGATTTTATGAGGAAAGCAGGAATTATCTGCAGAAACATTCACTGTGACAAAACACAAGGCAGGAAGGCATTTGACAGAGAGCACTCTGGCAGTGCAGGTCTGGATATCCCAGGAAACACCTCCCATGCTGTCACAGATGGGCTTGCTGATCATTTGGAAGATGCAACAGTCCCAGCCCATAGTTTTCTGCATCTTCTCCGGTGGGATCTGATGGTGTTTCTCTCAGTGACAGCAGCAGGTGTGTGTTTTGAAGGCATCCTTTTCTAGCACAGCTTTACCGTGGTCTGGAGCACAAGTCTGATAAGGAGCAGCTGAGGGAGCTGAGGGGGCTCAGCCTGGAGAAAAGGAGGCTCAGGAGGGACCTTCTCACTCTCTGCAACTCCCTGACAGGACAGGGGAGCCAGGTGGAGGTCAGGCTCTGCTCCCAGGGAACAAGGGACAGGACAAGAGGAAATGGCCTCAATTTGCACCAGGAGAGGTTTAAATTGCATATCAGGAAAAATTTCTTCACAAAAATGTGTTATTAATCACTGGAGTCCCCATCCCGGGGGGGTATTTAAAAGCCATGTAGATGTGGCACTTGGAGACACGGTTTAGTGGTGGGCTTGGCAGTGCTGAAGGAATAGTTGGACTTGATGATCTTAGAGGTCTTTTCCAACTTTAATGATACCACAATTCCAACCAGCCCATGTTGTGCTGAAGCAGAAAGCTGAACCCATTTTTAGCAGCAGTAACTCACAACTCAGTGCACCCAGCTGGCTAACACACGTGCTGTGAGTTGTCACTTATGCCATGACCATCCTAGAATGGCTCTAAACCAATGGATGATCCTCTGGAAGACCCTGGATCTCAGCCCCGCTCCGTGGCCGTGATACGGTTGCAAAGACCTTCCATTCGTGACAGGGAAGCAGCAGGAAGACTGGTTGAATTATTCCTATTAAACCACCAAATAGGCCCTCAGGCTGTGCAAACAGAGCTGGTATCAAACTCTCCTGGCAGCAGCTCTGAGCCAGGATGGATTTGGCTCCCAATCAAAGTCTGGGGGCTGAGAGCACTGTCTGCAAAGCAGTCTCTCCTCGCAGCCCTGACAGCTTCTCTGCCGTGGAGTCACTCAGGACCTGACTTGATCAAATAGGCCAAGAAAGTGCTATCAACCCTATTTTTCGGTGGGGTGACGACTCAGAGACAGGAAGGGTCGCTTTCATCATGAGATGTCAAGTCTTGCCGGCTCAGGCAGAGAGACCTTTTCTTCTGGCTCACTTTCAGTGTTTCTCAAATCCTATTTTGAGAAGGAGATAAGAGGTGATTACAGTATTTTTTCAGCATATTAAACCTTTTTGTCCTTGCTGAATTTGCTTTTTTCTTTCCTCTCTTTCTTTTTTTCTTATTTTTTTTTTTAATTTTTTAAATTTCACTTATTTGCACTTATGTCAGTTGCTTCACAGCCACGTTTTCACCTTCTGGAACACACAGCCACTCTGTGCTTGAAGATATTTACACATTTGCTTCTATTTTTCAAAGCACAAGTGTGACCCACTGTGTTGTTTTCCTTTCAAGAGGACCAGGATGGTGTGTGTGGATCACCAGGCCTGCTGTGGACACCTCTCAGTAGGCACATGTCCCAAAAACTTTCATGTCAGAGAAGCTGTGTGATAACAATTTTCTCAAGGAGGCAGCAGGAATTTGGGTGCATTGCTAATTCAAGATCCCTCAAGGGGAAGCCCCCAACTGTGTGAGTTATTTTAAGACTTCAAAGCATTCTCCCTCATGACTGATCATCCTTTTCCTGTACTAGGAGTGAATGAGGCTCTGCTGAAAACCCTCATGGATCTCCAAGTTCCTTCTGGAAAGCCTGAAGGGAAGAGTTCAGGGCTTTGGTTTACAAAGCTGCATTTCCCCCCACACTGACCCTCTCTCCTCCCTAACAAATGTCCCGCAGAGCAGCAGCCAACCTTGCACAGGCACAAACCCCAAGTTGCCCCAGAGACACGTTATCTTGTGATGACAAAGGGCCAGTCTGGCTCTCTTGCTGGTGGTATTATTTGAAAAGGTCACACAGAGACTGTGGCTTGACAGGCTGTTTTGAAAAATGCTAATAATAGGCTGGCCATGGCTCTGGGTGCATTAATTAGGCTGAGTACAAGCTAAAGCCTTCCTGCAGCAAACAATCTCTGTTCTTTTTATTTTTCTTCTTTTTCTTTTTCTTTTTCTTTTTCTTTTTCTTTTTCTTTTTCTTTTTCTTTTTCTTTTTCTTTTTCTTTTTCTTTTTCTTTTTCTTTTCTCTTCTCTTCTCTTCTCTTCTCTTCTCTTCTCTTCTCTTCTCTTCTCTTCTCTTCTCTTCTCTTCTCTTCTCTTCTCTTCTCTTCTCCTTTATCTTTTCTTCTCTTCTCCTTTATCTTTTCTTCTCTTCTCCTTTATCTTTTCTTCTCTTCTTCTTTACCTTTTTTCTTTTATCGTTTTTCTCTATTTTCTTTTATCTTTTCTTTTCCCCTATATTTTTATTCTATTTTTTCCTTTTCTCCTTCTTCTCCATTTTGTTCTTTTTCTTCTCATTTTCCTCCTTCTCCTTCTCCTTCTCCTTCCCCTTCTCCTCATTTTCCTCCTTCTCCTTCTCCTTCTCCTTCCCCTTCTCCTTCCTCTTCCCCTTCTCCTTCCTCTTCCCCTTCTCCTTCTTCTTCCCCTTCCTTTCTCACCAAGGTGTTTAGGTTTGACTTTTTTGTTCCTCTGTATGTGCTGCTCATCTTTATAAACTTTGCTCTTCCCCAAAATAGCTGCTCATTTCTGCTTCAGTAGCTGCGAGTGCAGCAACGTGAACAGTTGCACAACCTGGGCATGCAAACCGAGCCCCTCAGCCCTACCCCACAGAGCTCTGCCCCAGGGTGGCTCAGAACATCCTGGCACATGCACAAGGTGCCAAAATTTAGGCCTCAATCCAGATGGGTTTTAAGCAAAATGAGGGACGCAGAGCACGGGTTTTGTGCTCTGGAGCACCTCAAGTGCATCGGGGCCAGGCAGAGGGAAGGGGGTCCTGGAGCATCCACCACCCCTGTGGGAATTGCAGCTGGGTGGAGCAGGCAGGTGCTACAGAGGTGCTGGGCTGAAAGCAGCAGAGTGACCTGACTGTGGTGGCACATCTAGAGCACCTCTGCTCTGGAGACAGGCTGAGAGAGGTGGGTGGTTCATCCTGGAGAAGAGAAGGCTCCAGGGAGACCTTAGAGCACCTTCCAGTGCCCAAAGGGGCTTATAAAAAGGAGGGAGAGAGACTTTTTATAGAGGCAGATGTAACAGGAGAAGGAACAACAGTTTTAAACTGAAAGAAGGTATATTTGGGTTAGATACTAGATATTATGGAGAAATTCTTCCCTGTGAGGGTGGTGAGGCCCTGGCACAGGTTGCCCAGAGAAGCTGTGGTTGCCACATCCCTGGAAGTGTCCAAGGCCAGGTTGGACGGGGCTTGGAACAACCTGGGATAGTGGAAGGTGTCCCTGCCCATGGCAGGGGGATTGAAACGAGATGATCTTTAAAGTCCCTTCTAACCCAAACCAATCTGTGATTCTCTAATTCATTCTATGATCTGCAAGGAATAATGTGCAGGAGGGATGGTAAGACAGTGGTAGAGCCCAGAGCATCTGGAGGGAGAATTAAATCCTAGAAATGGGCTCAAATGACAGAAACAGAAACGCTTTTATACCTTTTTCAATCAAGAAAGCCTCATTGTTTTGAGTCAAATTCCAGAGCCACGCTGGGAAATGTTGCTCCAGCAGTTTTCATTTACTGTCGTGTGAAACTCAGGCCAAACACTGACAGGTTATTTATGACCCTTCTTATTCCACACAAACCCTTTTTTCTTGTTGACACACTGTGTTTTGTGAATGGGGGAGTCTGGAGTGCTTTAAAAACACATCCACAGGGAACTCTTTGGTGGATCGGTGTTAATGCCTGAGCAGAGGCTGTGGTGAGCAGGAAAGCTGGGTTGGTGCAGAGGTTGGATTGGGGGTACAGTGGGGGTGACAGACCCCCATGTTTGGGGGGGTGAAATGCCCCACCATATATCCAACAAGATATCACCCCCCCAGCCGGGAACAGACTGGATCCAATGGTGTTAATCCTTCTTTCAGATAACTTGGTTGTGGTTGCACTGTACGACTTTCCTGCCTCGAGTGACCGTGACCTGGAGCTGGTCAAAGGGGAGAAACTGCAAGTCCTCTCCAAGTAAGTGACCTTCTGCCAGAAGGAAGCTCAAAGATGAGCATGGTGAGACTGGGAGAGGGGGAACTTTGGGGTCAGACACCAATTTGCAGCTCATCAGAGCTGAGCTTTGCTCCAGAGTGTGAACGTTCAAGGTGGTGTGTCTCTGCAAGTTGACACTTCCATGGGTCACAGACACTCTGGTATTGCATAATGTCCCTGTCTGGATAGTACTGGGACCTAAAACGCTGGAGGTGCAGAAGCAGCATAAATAACAACAACAAAAAAAATAGCTCCTGTCCTGTTTCATATTTTGTGCTGATGGTGCTTTTTGCAAAGGATGTGGGTTGGGTGTAGTCAGAGGAAAGGACAGAATCGAGCCAGACAGATGTGTGGTTTCATTTCAATTTCTTCTCAAACTCATACAGAGGGAGCCCACCCCATAACAAGGCAGAGGTGGGCTTGGGTCCCCCAGACCTTGTAGGGCTGCTCCATCCCTGGTGGCCTCCAGAGGTGACATTTCTCACCCAGACACCGTGGGCTGGCATCCAAGGCCAGGGAGATGGAGAGCCCATGATGTGGGACGGCCTTTGGTCACTGTGGCTGAGCCAGCAGTGGGAGAACAAAGTGAAGTGTCTGGCAGGTGAAGGAAGGAGCAAAAAGGGCCCCAGTGCCTCTGTGCAAGAAGAAAAATAAACCCACAGTGACCCAGACTTCCCTCCTCTCACTTGAGGCCCATAGCAAAGGTTTGGGCCTGTGGTCATTCTGTAGGAAGAGTCTGTCACCTCTAGAAGTCCCTGAGAGACCACCAGCCTTCAGCCTTGTGGTGATCCTAGAGAATCTAGAGGAAACTGTAGAGTGGATTAAGGAGCCCTAGTCTATTTGCAGTGCCCTAAACCCTACCATCCATGTCCTCACAGCCTCAAGCCTTGTCCTTAAGCTTCCTCCAGGCACTCACACTCTTTCCTCTACTCACTTTGCAGTGATGGGGACTGGTGGCTGGCAAAGTCCCTCAGCAGTGGCAGGAAAGGCTACATCCCCAGCAACTTCGTTGCACAAGTGGACAGTTTGGAAGAGGAAAAGTAAGTGTGAAAGCTTATGAACCCTGATGCAGTGCCCTGTCTCTCAACAAGCTATGGAAAGGGCTTCACTTGCTGGCAGGAAGATGTCATGGCTGGGTGGCAAGAGTTCTTTCATCATCCCAAACAACGCTGCCCAAAAGTCCAGGAGAAGTTTTAAGCACTGTATGGGTGTGAAGAAAGGATGAGGAGAAGGGGTGATGTCGTTATAGGGAAAGTGGGCAAAGACTCCTGTCCCATTAATTACACCCATGGTGAAAAACAAGGATCTGGGGGAGAGAACATAAAGGATGTGTTTGCACTGGTAAATCAGCAGTGCCAGGGATCACGTTCTGCTCCCACTGGGCCAATCCACCCACACACAGTGTTAAACCTCCTCAGCCTTCAAGAGGGTATCCATATGTAAACTGAGAATCTCTCTGGATAGGGTACATTGATCCAGGTCTTGGATGTGTCAGGGACAACACCAAGTTGTGCCAGTACCAGTACCCAGACCCACAGCCTGGTGCTGTTGGTTTCATTAGCTCAGATGCAGCCTCCCTGCAAGGAAGATGGAAAGGAAGACTTGAGTCAAAAAAGTTTATAATGTCTCTAATACATGCAGCAGAAGAATTTTTCTTCTGTGACTTATCCTCTTTTATGGCATTCAGCTATAAGTGATCAGTCCTACCTGCAATCTCCTCTTGGAGGGACCCAACCGTCATTGAATTCAGCAAATATTTAGCAACACACAGAAATGTCATTGAGACATAAAAGTTCTTTGTATCTAAACTTCCACTTCTCCTGTATAGGGGATCCTGCACATCCCATCTACTTCCTGCTCTGTCTGAATTGCCAGGCTGTGAAACAAGCCCAGGGAGACCAAAATCTGGTGGTAATCTACCAAAACCAGTCCATTGCTGGCACTTTCCAGCAGATAACAGACCAGTTGCTGATAAAAATAACCCTCAGTTTCACAATGTAATGGCAAAAAAACCCCAAACTAAACCAAACCAAATAAACCCAAATAAACAAACTCCGCCCCAAACCCAACCAAATATACAAACAAAAACCCACCAAAACCAAAACCAAAAAAGAACTAACTGGAAATAATTCCTTTTTTTTATCTCCCCCCCCCCCCCCCCCCCCCCCGAGCTTTTCCTTTTCAATGATGATTTTACCTTTTGTCTCTCCCAGGTGGTATTTTAGAACTCTGAGCAGAAAAGATGCTGAAAGGCTGCTCCTGTCCTCTGGTAACAAAGCTGGCTCTTTCCTTGTCCGAGAGAGCGAAACAAGCCAAGGTGAGACCCACAGAGCAAAGGTAACTCCTGTTATTGCCAGGGCTTGGAAAACCTTCCACACCTGAGCTGCAAACTCCAGGTGTGCCAGAGTTTCTTGGATCTGGCAAAGATTTGCTCAGGATGTTATTTATGTGTGTAGTTTTGGCTGTGGGAAGAGTGGCTTTTGCCACCACAGTTCATGGCAGAGGCGCAGAAACACAAATAAGCAAGAAAGATTTTCCAAAACAGTGTGTAGGGGTTTTCTTTTCCTTCTCTTCCCAGGGAAATGTTACATTTTTTTTTGGTAAAAGGAGGTACTTCTGTGCACTCTTGAAAAAGTGTTTCTCCTGTTTGCAACAGCAACTCGCAGAATTTTGGAAAAAATCTTTTGGTGGAACATTTTCCCAGGGAAAACATGTTTTTCCTGATAATGTATAACAGGGGAAATACATACAAAACAGAACTTTTTGGAGGAGATTGACTGGAGCAGGGAAGGTGGATTCATCCACTTTCCTTCCATATGAACATGTTTGACTTTTGAAGACACGATCCAATGAGGATGGAAAGGGCAGAGCATTGTAGTCACCTCTCTTGGGCAGTGGATACAGTTACTAACCATAATACTTAATCATGTAATTGCAATTTCCATATTCTGTGCTGTTAATTTGTAGAGCCTGGGAGTTAGTTTGGGTTGTCCCATGGGAATTTCATGTTATTTCTTTCCTACTTTTTTTCCTCCTTGCTTCCCCTGGGCCAGCCTGTGTGTTTACAGCTCGGAGGAAACGATGCTCATGATGATCTCATGGTTCTACTCTGAACCAGATCCAGTAGTTCAGGAAAGTATTTCAGTCTAACTGTGATTTGGTTTCTTTGCTGTGAAATGGATACAGGAGTCTGTCCTTGACATGTAGAAAAAGGTGGGTTTTTGTCTTCCCTTACTATTTAGAAAAATAAAACTGTTTAGGCTGGAAAAACCTCTAAGACCATCGAGTCCAACCACGACTCAATCAGTAGAGTTGGAGCACCTACCCAAAGTAATACGTGTCCTTCTTTTCTTTGACTCGCTTCCAAACAGTTCTACAAGACCAAACAGTAAGAGTGGGAACAATCATCCATCTTACAACTGGTTCTTGCCTACTGTACCTTCTCCTTCCTCCTTTTGTCTCTGTTTTTCCCTATTCATATGGGACTTCTCTAAGGCAGGATCTGTTCCCTCCACCATGGATACATCATTACCAGCGAATTAAATAGTGCCAGAGTCTGGATGTGGCAGCTGCAATCTCATCTTCCTGTATCTGTCTCCCTAAGCCATCAGGCAGTGTCAGCAATGTGGCATCCTACTTGGAATGTCCCCCTCTGCCCCGTGCCTGGGCCCACCTCCACACATCCCTGCTGAGCTGATGCCAAGCAGGAGGGCTGCTTTCCATGAGGATTTGTGGTTTTCAGAATTTTTAAGGAAGGCTCAGGTCAGGAAACATTGAAGAGACTTGTTTTTAAGCGTTTCATTTGCAAGTCACTTGTTCTGCTGTATCTTGGTTTCCCTGCTCCCTTTGTGGTGCCTTTGCAAAGGTCAGGCTTGGATTAGTCACCATGTGCTGGTCTCCTGTTTGTCCCCTTCCCACTCTCCCTTTGTTTGCCGGGGTATTTGGGAAGTTGGCATTTCACCCAGGAAGGGTAGGGAGCAACACGTGCTCTTCACAAGCCCAACAAACACTTGTGTGTTGTATCCGAAGGTTTGGGAAGAAGTGAGATGCTCTGTTCACACATGATCCTGGTCTTTGTGGCATCTCTAGACACCATACGTGGATGGGATCATTCCTTTCCCTACTCTTGCTCAGGACAATTGGCCCAGATCTCTGCTTGCCATGAGCTGCACACACAGGATGGAATAATACCCTGCAATTCTCCGGGGTGTGGGTAGGTCTGGGTCACACAGGGCTCAGATAGAGGAGTTGCAGTCCTGAGATTCAAGGAGAAATAACCAGATCCTTAAAGCCCTGTATCCGCTGTCTAGAAAATGTGTGATATTCTGCATTAGCAGATGTGGTGGGTTCCACTCCATGGAAGCCCCATATTAGTCCCAAATGCTCAGAGATCACCTTCTGCCCTGAAATGTGACTCTCACTTGTGCCCTTCCTGATATTTAGTGTAAAATATGGCTGTTAGTCCTTCAAACACCTCATCCTCTGAATCATCCTGTGTTCTCAGCTTCTACCTGAGCACCCTGAGCTTTAGGCTGCCTGAATGGCCACGATGACACCATTTGATCCTTCTTAACCACATCTTCCTCCTCTCTAAAGAGAAGTGAAAAAAAAAAAGCCCTGCATCTCCAAATGTGCCATGAAGCCGAGTTTCCTAATGTAAAATATCCTGTGACCCACCAAGAGATGTCCAGAGCAATGCCATGGAATTAACTTGGCCCTTTGAGCCTCACAGGGTCCTTCTGTTTTCCTTCCCCATGACTTGTATTTTCATTCACTTTTCACATCACCAGCAAAATCTGACCTTCAGCACTGAGCACTGGGTTGAGCTGCTCAAACTGGAAGGTGATTGTCTCATACTGGGCTGTCTCAGCCACACTGGATGGATTTTGCATCCTGCCTAGGATCAGCACCTATTCCCAGCCCATCCTAAGCAGAGTTTCATTTTGCTCGTGGTTTCAGACACAGAAACTCTGCAAGCCCGGGGGCTTCGCTTTCTGTCAACATTTTGCAGAGTCCCTGCAAGGCACATTCAGCATCCTGGGAAGAGGGGAAGATGGAGACAGTGTGGGAAACACACCACTCATCACAGAATCACAGAATATGCTGAGTTGGAAGGGATCCACAGGATCATTGAGTCCAACACTTAGCTCTGCACAGGACCATCCCCAAGAGTCACACCCTGTGCCTGAGAGTATCATTCAAACACTTCTTTGACTCTGGCAGCCTTGGTGCCATGACCACTGCCCTGGGGAGCCTGTTCAGTGCCCAACTGCCCTCTGGGAGAAGAACCTTTTCCTGAGATCCAACCTAAACCTGCCCTGACACAACTCCAGTCCATTCCCTGAGTCCTGTCACTGGTCCCCACAGACCAGAGATCAGTGCCTGCCTCTCCTCTTCTCCTCCTGAGGAAGTTGTAACTGCAGTGAGGTCTCCCCTCAGTCTCCTCCAGCTGAACAGACCAAGTGACTTCCAAAATCTGGGAACTGTGAAATCATCGGTGGGGCACCAGCCTTGCTGAAGCTGCTGCAAATAAACCAATGTCCCCTTGAAGTAATAACCATTCCAAAGCCTGCAGGAGCACATTCCCACAGCTGTGGCGAGTCACAAGCTCCTGGCTCCCAGCAGGAATGTTGGGTCTGTGCTCCCGGCAGGAGGGACCTCGCTGAGCTCAGCCACTGCATCCAGCTGAGCTCCTGGATTCCCCTGGCGAAGGAGTTAAGAGGCTGATGAGAGCCATAGGAGGAGGAGATGCCACGTGTTGTGGGACTCAGTCTGAGGCAGCATCAAAATGCAGATACAACAGCCTGAGCTCCCGCTGTAGCCTTGACTTGGCTGTCAAATCCTGAGCATCTTAGAGCCATCTCCAGGTGCTCCAGAAGGAGGTGGGGTTTTGCACCTTGTCTGCCAAACCCATGCAGATCACAGAATCACAGAATCATGGAATGGGTTGGGTTGGAAGGGATCTTTAAAAATCATCTAGTCCAACCCTCCTGCAGCAAGCAGGGTCATCTTCCACTAGACCAGGTTGCTCCAAACCCTGTCCAACGTGGCCTGGAACACTTCTAGGGATGGGGCAGCCACAGATTCTCTGGGCAGCCTTTTCCAGGGTCTCACCACCCTTGATGTACCAGAGCATCTGAAGTGGTACCAAACACCCATGTTTGGGTGAATCAGCCCATGTGTGATGTGAAGTTGAAACTCACCCTTTACATTTTTTGCTGCTCCTTTCCATACAAAGCTGTGAACAGAAAGGACCTGAGCACCCTTGCAGGATGGTTTGGGGATCCCAGACTTGGAACAGGAGGGTCTAACACCCAGAGCTTCCCAGGGCAAGGTACAGTTGTGCTCATGGGACTCTGAGCAACCTGGTCTAGAGGAAGGTGTCCCTGCCCATGGCAGGGGTTGGAACGAGATGAGCTCTAAGGTCCCTTCCAACCCAAACCATTCCGTGATTCTGGGAAGAGCAAATTAAATCTTTCCAGCCTTAGTGCTTCGCTTTGCTCAGCAGCTCCAAGGGAACAGTAACCAGTCAAGGAGAGTGACAGGGAAGCTCTGCCACACTCACTCCAGCAAACTGAATTGTGACTTGGGGTGAAATACAGCATTGACTCTAATGACAGGGTAAGGATTAACACTGGTAGCAGGAAGCTGAGAGATCGACCCTGTCAGTGTTTGAAAGATGCAGGAGAGTTTAAAGGGTCGATGAGGTCTGGAAAGGAGGTCCTGCAGAACAGAAAGTATTTTGGGTGCAGCCACAGTAGTAAAAAGATTAGGTCTCCTCATCTCTGCTGACTCCTGGCCCCCAGGCACCCACTGGCAGATATGTTAGTCATTAATTCCCGGACTTCCTTCTGCAGGATTGTCTGTCCTCAGTGCAGCTGCGCTCACACCACGTTTGGCTCCTTCCCTGAGCAGTCCTTGTGCTGTAAAAATCCCACACAAACCCTAAGCCATGTCCAAGGCATGCAAAGCACCGTCTTGGACTTGTGCCATATTAGCCCAGCTCTGAAGAGCTGCAGCCTGGCCTGCACAGTATTCCAAAGTCTTTGAAATTAAAACAACATCATCATCATCCTCAACAGCAGAAATAACAGTTAATAATAGTAATAATAGTTGTAGAAATAATAATAACAATGATAATAATCATAATAGTAGTAGTAATAGTAATGATATATGTGTTGTCATTGTTTCATTCTTCATAGAATCATAGAATCATTTAGATTGGGAAGGACCTCAAAAATCATCAAATCCAACCTTTGTCCTTAATGTTTATTATCTATTACGTTTATTATTTATTATTTTGGAACTTAGAGTCACATGGATACCACAGAGAAGCCAAAGGAGATCTGGGCCCAAGTACTAAGGAATGTGAATGTGGCTCTCAAACTCCAGCAGGACTTGTGCTGGTCTGCATTGCAGACACAATTCCCAGCAACACCTCCCTGCACCCACCAGGGACCAAAAATCACTCCTTGGGAAAATATCCTGAGCTGTGCAGTGAAGTATGGTGACTAAGACATGTCCTGCAAAAATGAGCCATTCCTTTGCCCTTCCCTGGAGGTTTTATTGCCCCATTGAAGACATTTCAGGGCTGTTCCTCAGTTGTTCAGCTGCAGCACTGATAGAACCTAAAGGGCTTCTCAGTCTGTCTTCTGCCTGATGAAGAAGAATCTTCTGCTCTTCTGAATCTTTCCACATGGTGAAGAAAATATTCAGAATTACCTTCCAATTTGTGCTTCTCTTGCTCTGCATTTAAACCAGCAGGTTTTTCCTGGAGCTTTATGTCGCCAGATCTTTTAGTCAGGTCTCTGCAGGAAGGGAGTCCCCTCAAAATGATTCCTGGCAATTGGAAAAATTTTAGGCTGTCCCAAACTCTGCTCATAAACCTTTATAATCACTGCAACAGAGCAAATGTCCACAGAGCAGGTTTTCTTTTGCTGCTTTTTATAAATGCAGACGGTTTCCAGGCGCAGTGCAGGGAACTGCTGGTGCTGGGATGGGGAAACAGCAGCCAGTGAAGGTTTTATGTTAGTAAACTTTCCCCTCCCGTGCAGGATTAGAGTTTCAGAGTCACTGTGGACAGCCCTGCTTCTGCTTAGGATCCTGCATGACAGATCCTTACTTTTAAATATATATAGCCTTGCCTTTGCAGACATTAAAACAGGCAGTCTGTCAACCCGGGGTGACGTATTAGACTTGTAACAACTTGCAGCAACTTACTCCGGAAATCTGATCCAGACTCAGGGAAAAACCCACTGCTCAGGCTGTATCCAATCACACTGGCACGAGCTGGAAGTGCTGCTCAGTAGCAACATCTAGTGACGCGTTTGTGCACTAAAAACCGACCCCATGGCTTAGATTCTCATGTAGAGAGGGTTGGAGGGGTGGACTGATGAGCAGCTCCCTTGAGGTTAAAAGGCACATGATTCCAGATGGGAATCTCTGGATGTGGTTTAGCCACAGTCACAAGTTCTTGGCTGAACAAGATAATTCCACTGAACCTCCTTTCTGTACCTCCCAGCTGAGCTTGGCACACAGTTTATAAGGGATAACAGGGACACAGGGACCTTGGATAAGGCTGAGAAGGGACACATATTTCTTGGCCTTATTTCTCCCACCAAAATTCTGGTTGTGCTGGTGGGGTGGTTCAGCCCCTTGTCAGTCCTGCGTTTCTACAGACTGGTGAGACTGCAGTTACCTATTTCATGCAGATGAAAATGGCTTTATATGGCTTTAAACTGAAAGAGGGCAGGGTGAGATGGGATACTGGGAAAGAATTTTTGGCTGTGAGGGTGGTGAGACCCTGGCACAGGTTGCCCAGAGAAGCTGTGGCTGCCCCATCCCTGGAAGTGTTCAAGGCCAGGTTGGATGGGGCTTGGAGCAACCTGGGTTAGTGGAAGGTATCCCTGCCCCTGGCAGGGGCTTGGAATGAGATGGTCTTTAAGGTCCCTTCCAACCCAACACATTCTGCGATTTCATGATTCTGTGAGGTGCTGGGGTTAACAGAGCTCAGATGGGAGATACAGAACTGTGGAAAGACCATTATGAGCTAGGGAGCATCTGATTGCTCTGTCTGGAGATGTGTTATTGATTCCAACAGTGCTTCCATGGGGTTGCTGGCCATGGCATAGGCAGGTCTTACTAAACAAAGCCTTGACAGAACCAGACAAGCTCTGATGAACCTTTATCCTCTCCACTTGCCTTGGAGACAGGGAAGTCTTTGCAGCCCTGACAAGGCATCAGCAAGGGCTGGGAGAGGTGTCTGCAGCTGAGGAAAGAGGAGGGAGCTGGTCCCTGATGAAGGTGCTGATTGCCCTCACAATTCCTTTTGCTCATTCTCCAGGTGCCTATTCCCTGTCTGTGAGAGACAGCAACTCTGCCCAGGGGGACATCATCAAACACTACCGGATCCGCTCCTTGGATGATGGGGGGGGATATTACATCTCCCCCAGGATGACATTTTCCAGCCTCCCAGAGCTCATCCAGCATTACTGCCGTAAGTTGTCTGCCTTCCCTGATGGCTTTGTGTCCCAGAAGAAACTGGGGACAGAGGGTGGAGGAGAGTCTGTCGAGACATCACTTCTGCTCCACCCACTGTCATGGACCAGGTGTGCTCCTACAAGCAGAGCTTGGACACCCATGTCCTGGTTTTCATTCTGAGAAACTGCAAGGGTGAGCTCTGCCCATAGTCCTAAAATCAGGGAGTGTCTCCCATAAGGAAAGGAAAGACATGAATGCTGTTGGGAAATGCAGGAGGGATGCTTGGGAAGCAGGGTTTGGCCTAACTGGGCAGGACAATTTGCTCCTCTGTGGCTCCCTTTGAGCTTTTTCCTTTCATTGGATCCGTTTTGGGTGCCTTGATCCCTGTGGCTGAAACATTTCATGGAATCATCAAATTATTAAGGTTGGAAAAACCCTCTAAGATCACGTCCAACCATTAGTCTAACCCATGTTCCCAAGTGCCACAACTTTTAAATCTTTCAGGAACAGTGATTCCACCACTGCCCTGTGTGGCTGTGGAGATTTTCCTATGGGCTCATTATTCCTGGCATGTGTAAATGGAGGAGGAGGAGGAGTTTAGGTCTGCCATCCCATTGAACTGTTCTGTGCTTCATCCTCACACAGAGAGAGGGGATGGCCTGTGCCAGCGCCTCACAGCTCCCTGCATATCCCTGGTTCCCCAGAGACCCTGGGCACAGGATGAGTGGGAGATCCCACGGGAGTCTCTGAAGCTTGTGAAGAAGCTTGGTAGTGGGCAGTTTGGAGAAGTGTGGATGGGTGAGTATAATTCCTCCAATTTCAGGGAAGAAATATATAAAGAGAGGAGATGGAAAATCCTCTTTCCCTAAGGCTATTCTGGGAGTGGGAATTCTTAAGTATGGACACTTATTTATGGGGACACACAGAGTAGGAGATGCCATATTCCTGGGAAGGACTGGACAGCTTGTGTTTGCACAGATTAGTGGCTGAGCAAGGATTTCACAAGCTGGAGACGTGATGGGTGTTGAAGTGACTGCATACTCATCTCCTGAGAAATGCTCTTATTCTTCCTATAAACCCTGGGCACGGTTGTAGGTTACACACAGCAGAGTAGATGGGTGATATTTTCCCACTTTTTCTGCTTCCCTGTTCCACTTTTTAACCCAGATCTGAATCCCTGATGCCTTCCTGCCCACTGCTAATCAGTGGGAGAGGAAGTGGAGTGAGCTCAGCTTCCTTTGCTGTCCTCTCTGTGGTTACTGGTTGCCTTGGCAATTGAGATTTGCGGACAGGACCAGGGTGAGTTCATGTCCTGAGTGTAGAGTCCTGGCTTTTTTCATGGCATTTAGATCATTTGAGAACCCAGCTGGTGGGAGGCCCCAGGGGTTTCACCCAGAAAGAGTCTTGCAGGGCTGGGAGGACTGTGTGAGGATGGACTCATTCCATGGGCAGGGATGATCCCTGCTGCAGCTGCATGGATTGACAGTTGTGTCTCCCTTCTCCTCTCACAGCTGCTGGCACTGGGATTTACCAAGTGTTTCTTTATGAGAGATCCAAGCTGTTGCTGTGGTTTTCTGCTCCTTGATCCATGAGCTTTTCTCCTTATTGCCTAGCCTGATAGAGCCCACAGAGAACCCAAAATTCCTCAAAGCATTGTTCTCTTTCTGCAGGCTATTACAAGAGCAACATCAAGGTGGCTGTGAAGACCATGAAGGAGGGCAGCATGGATCCTGATGCCTTCTTGGCAGAGGCAAACTTGATGAAGAAGCTGCAGCACAACAAGCTGGTCCGGTTATATGCAGTGGTCACCAAGCAGCCCATCTACATCGTGACAGAGTACATGGCCAATGGTAAAAACCCTCACTGAGGTTTGTGGAGGAGGGTTTTGTACCAAACCTGTAAGCAGAAGGACTAAGAAACCCAAAAGTTTGTTTCTACTACACAAAGGGACTTTTTGGGTGATGAAAAAAAGCTGCTTCACGTCACGGTGATGCTCTATTTGAAAAGCATTTGAAGTTCTCATCTCCACTGTTCCTACTGCAAGTTTGTGTCAGATTTTTACTCCCCTCGTGGTGAAATTGTCTTTTCTTTTTCCCCTCTTGTCTATAAGGATTTGAGTGATGAATGCCCAGCAGTTTGCAACAGGTCTGTGCAAAATAGAGGAGAAATGGAGCTGAGTTTGGGGACTTTTCTAATGGGCAGATGCTCCAGCAGGCACCCATTCTGGTTCCTCAGACTTTCTCTGGGATGCAGGCAGATGTGTTGCCTATATTCTGAGAAGGACCAGGGAAAACAAATGTTAAGATTTATTAATTAGATTTATTATTCATGATTCATTAGATTTATAGAAGAGTTTCAGCAGCGTCTCCTCTTTTGCAGGGTGTTTGCTGGATTACTTGAAGACGGAAGAAGGAAGCCAGCTGAGTCTCCCCAAACTCATCGACATAGCTGCTCAGGTTAGTGAGCAGCCACTGGGAAACGGGCTCAAGGTTTGTTATGGCCTCAGTGAAATTCTTCCAAGTCTGAAGTCTGTCAGAGTGTGGATTTCATGGAGGAAAACAGCTCCTCCTGGTGTGTCCTCTTAGGATTTCTCTCCAGCCCTCTCGTATCGATGTGCATGTGAGCTCAGCAAAGCTCAGCTGTCCTCAGGACAGCCCCGGGGAGCTTTGTGCAGTGCTAGAGATCTAGAGTTTGGGGGATTTTAGGAGAGTTGGGTTTGTTTTGGTCTGTTTTTATTTGTTTTGCTTTCTGGCTTGCTGAGCAGGGAACAAGTTTGTTTTTCTTTTAACAAAAAGGAGAGAAAGCACAACAAACAGATTTTTAATGTAGACACACACTGGTTTTCAGCAGTTTTTCCCTTCTGATGATGAAGCATAAAGGATGTTCTGACCCTCAAATCTGGGAATGTTGTTCCTTATAAGAACAAACCTTTACCTTCGTAGGGTAAAACATCCCCAGGCTGTAAATCTTAATATTTGCAGCTGCACAGTAACATTTTAGTCCAGAAGTGACTCTAAACACAAATAGGTCAAAGTAGGGAAACCATATGAAGGATGAGAATGGTAAAATCACTCCACTTTGATCCTAGCCAGAAGCTGACAGAGTTTGGCTCGCCCAGAGCAAAGTTAGGCTAATTAGGAAGTATTGGGAAAAAAACATGAAGCATCAGGGTGAGTACAACTGAATAAAGGACTGGGATTTACCCATAAAATCATGAAACTCTGTGGGTCAGAGTGAGCCTGAGGAAACAATGTGTAAAGGCTGGTTGATTGCTTCCAGCCATTATACAGAGTTGTTATTTTTTTTAATTAATTAAAAACTGGAGGATCTTAATATTTGAGCAAATGTTTTATGACAGCAAAAATTTAAATACTCTTAAGCAGTACCACTTTCTATCATTTTTGCTTTGCACCATTCAAAGTGGTGGAGAGGAACACGTTTCTGTTCCTTCCTTCTTCACTACTAATAAATCTTCCATATCTGCAGCTTTATCATTGTTGATTGGGGGAGGTTATGGGGCCAACTACACCCTCCCTTAAATTAATTAAGAAATTAATTTCTTAATTTCTCTTAATTTCTCCCCTCCTTCTCTCTTTACCTCCTCACGTCCCTCCCTACTTTTTTCATTCTTTCATTCCCTTTCTTGAAATTTGCACCCTGAGGTGTGTTTTAAGTTCCTGATGATAAGGAAAATGACCCAAATTCATATTACAGAGCCCTTGGGATTAGTGGGAGTATTCCCTAGAAATTGGTTTGATGCTTTTCTATGCCAGAAGAAAGTGCAGTGGGGCCAGAACAGTCTGTACAGAGGTGACCCAGAGCAGTGTTATAGAATCACAGAATCACAGAATGGTTTGGGTTGGAAGGGAGCTGAAAGCTCATCTCATTCCAATCCCCTGCCATGGACAGGGCCACCTCCCACTATGCCAGGTTGCTCCAAGCCCCATCCAACCTGTTCTTGGACACTTCCAGGGATGGGACATCCACTCTCTCTCTGGGCAAACTGCACCACACACCAGGACCAGGAGAATTGAACACAGACCAAACCCCCCCACCCCAAAGATGTAATAACCCACAGAAGTAACCCCCAGCATGGGGGTAGGAAGGATTTTGCCCATCCCTGAGGAATGGGCATCAATTGGAAGGACAGCTTTCCTCCTTCCCCCTCCCACCCCAGCACCACCTCCCCAGGGCATGGATTCAAACATTCACAGGGTATCTTCAGGAGGAGGAGGAGGAAAAGGCAGTGTTCTGAGCTATTGTGCAATGTGTTTATCTGTGGTGCTGGACTGGCATCACAGCCCAAAAGGCACCAAACCCTCTCAGGCGCAATATTTGACCCAGTGACGTCCGTCAGAGCTAACATTAGAAATCTCGGAGCTGAGGAACTTGATCCTGTGGTCAGTCTTGAGGGTAAAAGCTTGAAAACATTCTGGGCTGGAGCAGGCCTATCACCAGGTACTATCTCATTAACATCAGGACAGGAAATTACATCAATTCTTCCATTTTCCACTGCAGCAAACAGCACTCACGCTGGAGGGGTGTTGACACAGGTTAGAAATGCAGCATTGGAAAGTACATGTGAGTATCCTGTTTGAAACCACATGTAAGCTGAGATGATGATGTGAATCTGAATGGAGTGGAAAATTGCTCTGCCCTCACCCACAGGCACATCAAAGCTCTAATATATGCTAACCATTGCTAGCAGGGACTGCATGAATCCAACTCCCCAGTAAATGCCCAACCCAAAACTCAAACTTGCAATCTCTTTTTTTATCAATCTCTCTTTTCAAGCTCCCAGCACTCATCAATCAAAGATTGCTGCTGTCATTTATAGAGGCTCATCACACACCAGGCACCTCGACTGGATATTAGGAAGAAATTCTTCCCCGTGAGGGTGGGGAGGCCCTGGCACAGAGAAGCTGTGGCTGCCTCATCCCTGGAAGCGTCTAAGGCCAGCAACCTGGGCACTTCTGGCAACCTGGAGCAACCTGGGTTAGTAGAAGGTGTCCCTCTGCCTGCATCAGAGAGGTTGGAACTAGATGACCTTTAAGGTCCCTTCCAATCCAAACCACCTTGTGATTCTATGATTCCTTGATGACCACCCTGCTACAAGGAGATAAATATTGCAAGATGGTCTTGGGAGCAAGAACCTCCCAAAGTATAATTTGGAGATGGTTGAAGAGGGTAGCACATGCCCAGGAAAAGGATTTTTCTAGACATATACTCTCTATTCAGGTCATATTTCTATGGATATCTGTGTCTTCTGATCTTACACATCCTGTAGGTATCAGAGGGGAAAACTGTGCTGTAGGGAGCTGGGAGTGTTCACCTGGAGAAGGCTCCAAGGAGACTTCAAAGCCCCCTCCAGTGTCTAAAGGGGCTCCAGGAGAGCTGGAGAGGGACTTTGGACAAGGGTCTGGAGAGACAGGACAAGAGGTAATGGCTTCCCACTGAGAGAGGACAGGGTTAGATGGGATATTGGGAAGGAATTGTTGGCTGTGAGGGTGGTGAGGCCCTGGCACAGGTTACCCAGAGAAGTTGTGGCTGCCCCATCCCTGGAAGTGTTCAAGGCCAAGTTGAACAGGACTTGGAGCAACCTGGGGTAGTGGAAGGTATCCCTGCCCAAGGCAGGGGTTTGTAAGTAGATGATCTTTAAAAGTCCCTTCCAAGCCAAACTAATCTCTGATTCTATTATTAGGCTTTTTCTTTTCTTAATTCACATATTTATTCTGGAGTGTTTATGATTAAAATCCCCACCAGAGAGGAGAGACTTGTGGCAGAAACTGGGAATCCAGTGATGTGGTTTCAGCTTCACTTCAGCTTTCTGCCTCTTGCTGCAGACAAGACACAGCTCACGGCTGTAACTCCGGAGCAAAACAGAGAGCAGTGCTTTTGTTCTGCTTGACTTGTCTGCTCAAAGCTTTCAGGCCCTGTCTGTGCTGGCAAAGCTGAATGTACGTGAGAATGTACAGCTGGAACGTACAAAGCACATGTACATGGGAAATATCTATTCATTAATGTATCTGTCTGTCTGTTGATCCACCTGCCCGTCCATCCATCCATGGAGCACTTATTCATGTCCATGCACGTGGAAGCACATGAGCAACCCTGTGCTTTGTAAAGGTGGGTAAAAGGCAGCCAAGAGTTTCGTGGGGAGGTGATGATGAAGGTGGACTCTTCCTCCTCTCCAGGTGGCAGAGGGGATGGCCTACATCGAGCGCATGAACTTCATCCACCGCGACCTGAGAGCCGCCAACATCCTCGTCTCAGAGACCCTCTGCTGCAAAATCGCTGATTTCGGGCTGGCCAGGATCATTGAGAACGAATACCTGGCACAGGAAGGTGGGTGTTGTTCCCAGAATTGCCCCACCAGCACATTGCCCTTATCTCCCACCCCTGTGCCATGCAGACATTCCAAGATCCTGGGCTGGGATCAGGCACTGGGCACTGATGGTGTGAGACCTGAGCCCACATTGCTGCTGCTGTCAGCACCCAGGCAGGGCACAGAGAAAGAAAGAGTCAAAAATTGGCTCCTCGGCAAGGCAGTGGCACTTGGGGAGAATAAAGAACAAATGAGGCTTGCAGAGGGAAATGGGAAGAAATCTTTTGGCACTGTTTGGAGGAATCCTGCAGAATCTCAGGTTGGCTTCCTGGAGAAACGTGACCTCTGATGATGAAATCAGCTGTGTCCACATGCTCAGATGGAGTCAAGTCCAAAGGGAAGGAAATAGGAGGAGAACTTTGTCATTGGCCTGCAGAGGGGAGCTGGAGCCATGAAACTGGACCCAGCAGCAGTTTCCAGGTGTCCCAGGCAAAGCAAGCCCAGACCAGATCAGGTCCCTTCTATAAGAGAGAGACAGCTTAGAAAAGACAGAATTATGGAATTATTAACTTTTCCAGTTAAGGCTGGAAAAGACCTCTAAGATCAATGAGCTCTGAGGTCAGATATGAGATTAAATTATTCATATTGCAAAGAGATCAGGGAAACAAGCAGAAGGGATTGAAATAAAGCAATTAAGTCTGGCATAAGTGGGACTTGCTGGAAGATTCCTCCTCTAGAGTTGGGATGAAGTGAAAATTCCCCAGAAAATATTCTGGGGAAAGAAAATTGAATAGATTTTTTTTTGTGTGAGATAGGAAACTTTTCTTTCAATTTCCTGTCCCAAAACACTTAATGATAACAATTATGCCCATTTCAACATGCAAAACTATTTCAAAGTAGTAAAAGCTCCCAAATATAATTTGCAAAATGTCATGAAAGGGAACTGTGACTTTGCTGCAATTTTTTAAGGCAGTTTTTATCCTTAAGAGAAGCTTTGATGAAATCAGTATAATTATGTTAATAACCAAAGGAGGTACTTTTCCAGTGGAAAACAGCTTCTATTAGCATTTTCCCAGCTAATATTACTCTGAAATAAGAGCTGCCCCTCTGTCTGCTTTGAGCAATTTTCACTTCATAGATTGCATTTCTGAACCTCATCAGTCAGAGCGTGACGTACAGCAGCCAAAGCACTTCTTTCACACCCTGCAGTTGGATTTTCAGTCCTGAAAGGATGTATATAAATAAAAATGTGGTTTCCTCTACAGTCTAACAACATCAGTTCCCACTTATCAAGCTGGTTTGAGCTGGGTTTTTTTGGTTTTTTTTTTGATCTTAGCTAAACTGAAACAGCAATCTTATGGTCATTGCTGTCCACAGTGGGCTATGCTGCTTTAAGAACTGGAGAGTTTGTATTTGCTGTATCATTTATGCACTTTTGATAAAAACAGCTCCCTTGCAGTGAGTGATCTCATAAAATCGTAGGATACCAGGTTGGAAAGGAACCTCACAGATCATCTGATCCAACTTTTCTTGGCAAAAGCCAAAGAAAATCTGTACAGAATAAAATCCTACAGCTGTTGTCCTCTAGTAAGGCTGACAGAGACATTGTCTGTGAGTACCCCATCCAGCTCTGGGATCTCCAACATCAGAAGAACATGGAGCTGTTGGAGCAGGTCCAGAGGAGGCCATGCCGATGATCCAAGGGCTGGAGCCCCTCTCCTATGAAGAATCACAGAATCATAACCAACAGAAACCAGAGATCAGTTCTGGGGAGCTGATTGCTGTGCCTGTGGCACATGAGGGAGATGCTCAAACTCCAGGTGCTATTTTCCTTTGTTTCCTCCGGACAGGTGCGAAATTCCCAATCAAATGGACGGCACCAGAGGCCATTAACTATGGAGTTTTCACCATCAAATCTGACGTGTGGTCCTTTGGGATCCTCCTGACAGAGATCATAACCTATGGCAGGATCCCTTATCCAGGTACCGTGCACAGGGAATACAGGATGTGTCCATGGACTTCCAAGCATCTGGTGATGCTTTAGGCTTGGAGGCACTTATTGAAATGTGCCCAGACACACACAAGTGTCTCTTAGAATCACAGAACTGTTTAAATTGGAAAAGAACTCTAAACTGAGCCTAACCATTAACCCAGTACTGCCCAGCCCAACACTAACCCATGTCCCCAAATGCCACATCCTCGCATCTTTTAAATCCCTCCAGGGATGGTGATTCAGCCACTTCCCTGGGCAGCCTGTACCAGTGCTGGACAACACTTTCAGGGAAGAAATTCTTCCAATATCCAATTTAAACCTCAGCTGGTGCAACTTGAGACTCTTTTATCTTGTCCTGTTGCTTATTACATGAGAGAAAAGACCGAACTCCACTTGCCTCCACCTTCCTGTCAGGGAGTTGTAGAGAACAAGAAGGTCCCCCTCGAGCCTCCTTTTCTCCAGGCCGAGCCCCCCCAGCTCCCTCAGCTACTCCTGGTACTCCAGCCCCTTCCCCAGCAATATTGCCCTTCTCTGGACATGCTCCAGCCCCTCAATGTCTTCCTTATGATGAGAAGCTCTTCGTGCTGGGTTTCCTTTTCTGAGCGTCCCACAAGCCTCGGTTATACCTGTGCTAAGCTAAACTTACAGAGGGGAGTCAGGGAGGGGACAGAGGGATGGAGGAAGGATCACAACCCTGAAGAAGGGATTGTTCTGCAGCCTCTTGTGCCCCTCCAGCTCTGCCTGGCTGGGAGCTGCTGGGAGCACGGACCTTCACCCCCAGGACGCTGAATAACTCCTGCTGGGCTGTGTTTCCCTCCAGGGATGACCAACCCCGAGGTGATCCGCAACCTGGAGCGTGGCTACCGCATGCCCTGCCCGGAGCTGTGCCCCGCGGAGCTCTACAGCGTCATCCTGAAGTGCTGGCGCAGCAAACCCGAGGAGCGCCCGACCTTCGAGTACCTGCAGTCGGTGCTCGAGGACTTCTACACGGCCACGGAGAAGCAGTACGAGCCAGAGCCTCAGCAGTGAAGCCACCACTCACCAGCACCTGGCAACGGGGCTGGAGGGAAGACATCACCCTGTGGTACTTTCCTTTTCTCCTGTGTGCCGCCCACGATGCGCTGGGAGACAGGGAATGAGGAGGGACACGATGGTGCCGGCTCTGTGGTTGTCACAGAGACTAAAGAGGAGGCTGAGAGATGTCACAACTCCTTCCTCATCCGCCCTGGAGGTCTGTACCCACTTTGCAGATATCTCCTCTGCCAGGAAGGACAGCTGATTTCTTCGTGGCCCACTTGGATACAGAAAAGCCCCTCAGCCCTGCAGCTGCAGCCCTGGGAAGAAGGGACCATGGCCGGGGTGGGGGTGGGGGTGGGAGGTGCAGAATCTCCCCCCCATTTCTGATTCCACTGCTGGCAATACTACAACCCCCTCCGTGCCACGGGCAGGGGTGGGAGCGTGTCCTGTCTGCACCTCCTTGGGCCACACCAGGCTTCCGAGCTCTGGAGAAATCTCTCCAGGTGATGCCCCCACTCTTTCCCAAGTCATTAATAAAAACGTGGATACCACCATTTCACATTTCTTCATGCGGACATCAAGGTGAGAGTGAGCACCTGTGCTTCCCGCGCCCGCCTCCATCCCATGGAGAAGGGAGAGGCTGCAGGGCTTCCCTGGAAGCACGGGGTGGTGCTGGGGTGGTAGCCGGGGTGTGAAGGGAAGGATTCCCGCTGTGCAGCCCACCGGAGGCAGGAGAGACGTTCGTAATGTGGCCACGAGATGTCCCTCCTTCCCAGCAAATCCGACCGGCTCCTGGGAATCAAAAATATACATAATAAAAAAACCTCAGAAATAAACCCCCTCCTTCTTGTCTGAGCCTTCACTGCACAAGCTCCTGGTGCAGCATCACGTCAGCCCCCAGTCCCTCTCTGTACCCAGCACCAGGAGGGTTCAAATGCCATTTCTCTGCTTTCTGGTGCACCTCTGACCCACAGCTCCAGAGGGAATTACCACAACAGGCTGCAGGGTGGTCTCCAGTCAGTTTTACCGGGCTAGGGAGTGGAGAATGAAGAAATAAGGCACAGATAGCACATGGAAGGGGTGTGAAGACCACAGGAGTGAGCACCAAGTTGGGACACAGGTGGACTCTCCTTCAGGTTACAATGTTGAGAAATATCTCCCCAGGTTGTTTCATCTGCTGTTTTCCACCCCATGAAGCAGATTTTGAGTCCAGCTGCAGAGGATGCGTTTCACAGTGTAACAGGGATGCAACGAAAAAGAAACAGCAGAGATGAAATGAGAAATCTCCATGGAGACCTTATAAACATCAAAGGGCACTTATAAGAAAGGTAGGGACAGACTTTTTGGCAGGACCTGTAGAATAGGACAAGGTGTGATGGTTTTAAGCTAAAAGAGGGTGGATTTAGGACAGTTAAAAGGATGAAATTTTTTACAATGAGTCTGGTAAAACACTGGCACAGGTTGCCCAGAGAAGCTGTAGCTGCCCCGTTCCTGAAGGTGTTCAAGGCCAGATTGGGCGGGGCTTGGAGCAACCTGGGATAGTGGAAGGTGTCCCTGCCCATGGCAGGGGGTTGGAACTGGATGATCTTTAAGGTCCCTTCCAAATCAAACCATTCCATGATTCTATGACCCATCTGCCAGCAAAAAATACCAGACCATCCCCAACACAGGACACAGAATTACTTGTTCATACCACTGCTGCAAAAGAACCCGGGAGGAAAAGGAGTAGGAAAATTACCCACAAATTGTAAGGACAGCTGGGCAGCAAATATCAGTCCAAGGCCTTGATCTTCAGCACCATAATGTCCCCATCTGTCACCTGTAATGAGACAAAATTCCTCTCCCTGATGCCAACATCACTTCCCAAGTGTATTCCCATGGGATAAGGTGCTTGTGTTGGCATGAACAACATTTTGCCTGGCTTTAAATGCTATTTATTTCTCCCCTTTGCAGACCCACAGAAAAGAAGACTCCTAGACTCAGAAGAAGGGAACTAAGTGAGATGATAATTCAGCCTCAGAAATCCTAGATCTAGCAGAGAAACCCTAGTGTGTCCAGGATTTTTCCATAGGGCTGGTACCTAGGGGTCTGTGAGAGACCTGCATCCCTCTAGGACTAAACTAGAGCTGGATGGGAAACACTGGGCTGTGGAAAAGATCTCCATCTTCACAACCTGCACCCCATGAACAAAGTGCTAGTGAGTCCTAAAACTAATTTAATCAGGCTTGGTCCAGTTCCTTCATGGTGCCCAAGAGACAAATTACATGTGCTATAATTATACAAAACCCATTTTAAACCACAAAAATAAAGCCATTTATTCAATAATTTCACTGGACCTGAAGGAACAGTCTTGAACTCCAGCTTGGTCTTTCCCAGCTACCAGGAACTCTGTGCAGGACTAGCAGATTTCTGTTAATGAGGTGATAGGCAGAAAATAAATACAGATGAAAGTTATTTGACTCCTTGGCTGTTAATATTTTATGGAAGTGAAAACTGTGGACTATTTGTGCTGGAACAAACCAGGAAGAAGAGTTGCAGGGTGTCTGCTGAGCACTTGTACATTGCGTTATCACCCAAGGCCAAAGTGTCAAGTATTGTAGCTCAATTTAGAAAGGAAATGGATATTTTTATGGCCAGTGGCAGCACGTGAGCAAGCCCAGGGTGAACATAACAAGAGACTGTAAGCTCTGCTTCCTCTACGCCAGACACCACAGCCTTTTTTGTTCATGCTGCACAAACATGTGTTCAATTTGTTCCCTGGGGCAGACACTCACCTGGCTCTTCCAGCCCTGGAAGAAGCCACTGGAAAATCTTCCCCTGCTTAGAGGAGTGGGCTGGGGCTGTGCCACCAAGATGAGCCTCTCCAGGGGATGGAGGGAGAGGTGAGATCCATGAGCAGCCATGGTTTTACACAGTATCCACCAAAACCACTGGGAAATGGGTTTCACAGCTCCACCACAGCAGGGATAGAACAGTTAGAGAGAAAAGGAGCTGCACTCCAGCCTGCACTCTGAATATGTAATCAGGGATTTCAGTAAAAAAAAGAAACAGGTGTGAAGTGGGATGGTGTTCACTGTGACCTCCAGCCCAGGAAGCTCTGGGGGACCAGGATGTCTCCAATGCCACCAGGAAGCTCTGGAAGAGCCCCTTCAGCCCCATACCAACCTGGCAGCCTAAGAGGTGTCTCTTCACCAGGGGTGAGCTCCAGCCAGAGGCTCCCAGGTGAGTGTCAGAGCAGGACAAGCGTGATAAAAGTGATCCAGGCTCTCAAATTCACTTCCTGAATCTAACCAAGAAGAACATGTCAGGCTCTGCAAAGGTATTTTACAAGATGTGAAGCAATTCCTGCCTCAGACAGAGTATGAACCCCCTGAATGGCCTAGACAAGGATTAAAAGAAGTACCTGATAAAAGGTTAAGCATAGCAGACACTGTAGGCTTTCCTGAATGTCTTTAGGAAGCTGAGTTGAAGTCGGAGCAGGACAAGGAGAGATGATCCTTAAGGTCCCTTCCAACACAAACCATTCTGTGATTCTATGATTAGCTGACATTGAAGAGCAGAGAGGGGAGAAGGAAGGACCACATGGCCCTACCTATGGGATAAAGACCTTGGGCTTCTCAAGTGAGGCTCCTCTACCCTCTTCTTTCTCCCTGTGCTATATCAACACCCTGATCTGTCTGACTGGCTCAAACTGCAGCCCTGTGTGTGCAAGACTCAGGGCTTGGTTACATTTCCAGATCTCTGGATAATGGGGGAGCTGGTACCTTTTTTGGAAAGGAGGTTTCTCAGCGTGAGAGATCTGCATCTACTTTACGAGGCTGCAGTTAAGCCCTGGAGCTGCGAGATGGGCTTGGTCAGCTGGTGTAAAGCAAAAGCAAAGCAGGGATGTATCAAAGTTATGTCACAGAATCAGAGATTCCTGGAATGGTTTGGTTTAGAAGGGAACTTAAAGCTCATCTTATTCCAGTCCCCTGCCATGAGCAAGGACACCTTCCACTATCCCAGGTTGCTCCAAGCCCCATCCAACCTGCCCTTGAACACTTCCAGGGATGAGGCAGCCAAAATTTCTTCACAGCCAAGAATTTCTTCCTAATATCTATTCTAAATCTACCCCACTTCATCTTAAAGCCATTACCTCATATCCTGGGATTTGGGTCTTGTTTGGTCCTGAGCAGATCAGCACTGGCAGGCACAGCTCACCAATATGCCCTCTGCCATGTGCCAGGAGCTCAGGACCTCTCCCAGGGTGATAAATTGAGGATCCAAGTGTCTCCACCTTCTGTGCAGGACAGGGTGCCTGGAGCTTGCCACGCTGCCCCTGAAAATCAAGGCCTGGCTGCCAGGGGAGGGAGGTGGTGAGGAGCTCTCACCTTGCTCTGTTTTCCCTCCACCCACACACAGCAGAGCAAATATCCCCTGGCAAATACTGCAGAGCAAACAAGGGCATCAGTGTCCTGCCAGGCTGAGCTCTGGCCTCCGAGCTGCTCCACCAAAGGGAACAATGACCACTTTTTGCCAAAGGGCTCACTCCCTGGCCGGGCAGCTGGTCAGCCCAGTGCTGACAGCCAAGGGAGACTCCACCTGCACTGCTTCCCCAAGGAGTCTTGGCTCAGAGCATTCCTAAGGCTGATGGAGCTCCAGGTGGGTCTGAAAAGCGTGGGTGGCCATCCCTGAGCACCCCAACCAAAGGAGAGGTTGGGATCATGTGTCACAGCCAGGCTGGCAGAGGGCAAAGATGTGTTACTGCTGGGAAGCAGAGACAGAGTCCACAACAAATCTGCCCAAACAAAATCCTCTCCACCCCCACAGGTTGCTCTGTGCAACATTCCATCTCTGCCAGAAGCCAGAAAAACCCTCCATGGATAACAGGGCTTAAGAAGACCATTTTCCTTAAACACTCGGGGCCCGTGGCTGCTCCAGAGAGGTCTGTGGGATGTGTCAGACACTCCTTTTGGTCCTGCTGGGCTGCAGGCAGAAGGGCTGGAGCTGTTTCTGGATGATTGCCCATCCCT